TTGCTTGAAATAATAGAGAATAGATAATTTCACATAACGAAAACATAAAATGAACGTATTTTAAACATCATTTACTACTCCAAGAAAAACTATATTGAAACCAAAGTCATTAAAAATCTACCGCAACATTTGGTTTACGTTAGCTACAATAAGAACATCTCAAAGGAGTAGTTACATGGGCCGTCGCCAGCTGACGACGCTGACAGCATTCCGCTCTGCTGCCTCTTTTAAATAGCTTTATCAAGTCTATTCTATTTATAGTTCTAACTATTTTATATACTTTAATACCTGTACACATTACCTCAGATACTTGATAATGGATTGTGATGCCACGTAAGTGGGCCTAGCACCATTTTCGCAAATATTCATACTAGGCCTACTGATAAGATCCTCTGCCGAACCTCTTCTGTTTTTACCCAAAGCTATTAAGGCATTGAGTGTTTAACTTTTTCGAATTTTTTTTGTTTTCTTTTAATATTTTTAACCTTAAAAAAATAATGACAAAGCTTAAATATTACATTTCAATTTACGTTAAATCTTTGTACGCCATCTATGTAAAGACTAGTACATTAAGTTGTTTCTTTATAATCATAATAGATGGCGCTTTTATAGATTATTTATTTGTTTGAAATAAAAAAGGCAAAGGAAAATTTTATTATACAACTTACGGTTTTTGGTCAATACATAACTTAAATATTATCATGATTAGTTTGAAAAAGTAAAACTTTGTTTTTAAACGCATTGAACGCTAGGAATTATTAGTTCTTTTTTATTCTTACTAAAATTATCAATACGAATATTTGGATGGATGGATGTAAGAAGTTGTCTGCAGACTAGCTGTTTGAATATGGATGATTTTTGGTATGGATGTAGAACACTGTCTCATAGTCAGAATTAAAAAAAAACTTCGAATTTATAATTCCAGGCGCACGAAGTCGCGGGCAAAATATAGTTTAAAATGGAGAAGCTGAGTAAATAAAATAATTGACATCAATTAAATCGAGCTCACCCACTGACGTTGCAAAAATAGACACGTAACAACTTCGTAAAGAAATAGTAATGGCAAACAATTAAATATTTTTGCTAAATTGCTATCATAATATGTAATTCTTTTGAAATGCAATTATGAACTCAATACTAAAGTCTTAAGGTTAAAAATTGATTTAATTCAGCAATGTAATATTCACGCGTCGTTAATGTATCCACAATTTTCCCGCCAAAAACAACGCGTTCCAAATGATTTTGTCTGTGCCAAGATTGTAGGAACATTTATCTGTTCTACAATGACCGCAATTTTAATCATTTAAAAAAATATGATATTGAAAAAAATTAAAACTCAATGGAAAGTAATGCTAAATATTATTTCCAAATATAGATTACCAAACGGTATCCGTGGGTTTAAAAAGTTTTACACAGTTGTACATGATCTCAAGACAAAAAGTTTTAGTATGTCGCACTACATTACATAACTAAAATGTTTTAATATTCTACTAAATATTGTAAAAACTACAACGTTTTATTACATAAGAGAAATAACTACAAACATCAGATAAAATTACAATCAACACCAGCCCACCTGTGTCACAAAATAAATCTGTCACCATTGTAGAACAGCCACGTGTTGTTATAGCGCAAAAATCCAATTTAAATATAGTCTACATATAACAGAGCTGACAATGTCACGCAGCTCGTGTCACTACGATCTTTATACGTTTGCAAAATTAAAAAATTAATTAAATTTTTCGACTTCAATTTATGCAAACTTCGTAAACAACGGACATTTTATTTAAAAGTATTTTAGTGTGTTTTTTTAACAGATATTTTCTTAAGTGCCAGTGTTTTAACACGTGTTGAAATTAAAAATAATATTAATAGTGCAGTGACAGCCCGCCAATTTGAAAGTGAAGTTTAGTGCGTCATTTTTTTATTTTGTATAATTTCTTACTAAGAAACTGTTTAAATCCGAATTGTTTTTAAGTATTTTTAAAAATGGCAGAAACGGAATCAACCGATGAAATATACAACAAGGAATATAGAAGAATACGTCGAATAACTAAAGATTTGGCAATACGGCAAATATCCGTAGGTTTATTTATCAAAGCATTATTGTACTGAAATACTGGAGTGGACTGACTGACTGATACAGTCTAACTATATCAGTCAGTCAGTCACTATAAAGACGACAGATTTGATTGTTTCTTTGTGTTGTAAAGACTCCAAAACTACTGAATCGATTTGAAAAATCTTTCACTATTAGGAAGCTACACTAAGTACATTATACCAGGGTGACATAGATTATAGTTATTACTAAATTTTTAATTCAGCACAGACGAAAAAGTGAACAACTTTCTTATAAAAGTTTGCGCTATTTTTCGTTAACTGTTTTTTTTATAACAGAAGGGGGCAAACGAGCAGCGGGAACACCGAGGTGTTCAACGACGCCCGCAGTTGCGAACGTCGAACGAACCGCAGATGCGTTGCCGGCCTTTGAGGTGGTGATAGGCTCGCTTCTTGAAGGACCCTAAGTCGTAGCGGTTTGGAAATACCGCCGAGGACAGACAATTCCACAATGCTGCTGTGCGAGGCAGGAAGTTTCGCGCAAACCGCACGGTTGTGGATTGCCAGCCATCGAGATGGTGTGGATGGAACCTGGCGGTCTGTCGTGTCGTCCGATGAAAGAACTCGGCGGCAGCTGTTCAGAAGCTGTCTATAGAAACTTTAAGCCTGGTTTTGACTTACAGTTTCTCCACATGAGTTCGCTTTACTAGTCTCTCCTATTTACCTTTACTATTAATTTCACAAAATTTTTATTATTAGAAGCGAGCGTATCACCATCTCAAAGGCCGTCAACATATCTGCGGTTCCTCTGGTATTGCTGATGTCCATGGTCATCGTTGAACACTTCGGTGTTCCCGCTGCTCGTTTGCTACCTTCTGGTATAAAAAAATATATATTTTATTGTATGAACCTAGATTAATTTGTGATATCTTAATATTATCTTTATTTTCAGTCCGAATATGGTCTTACTGAGGAACAAGTTGCAGGTAACTTACTTTAAATTATTTACTTACTTATAAAATTCTGATTGTTTTAGCACGTTGTGTATGTAGCGAGTGATACTTTTATAACTTCATATTCTGACCTTACTAACCTTGGGTTTCTAAGACCAATGCCTCTGTATAAATCATATCGTCATCCTAGTCTCTTTGACAACAAAGAGATTACATAATATGTTAACGGAAATATTGGACTCAGAAAACCATATATCGGCATTATGCAAATCAAATCCTGACTTTCAAAAGACTGAACTTGATACGATAGAGCGTAAAGTTAAGTCTTTTTAATCCACAGAATTTGAAGCAACATTACAAGTCAAAAACTCTCAAATGAGACAGTTAATTGTAGATTATTCTAATAGTATTAATATTGCTCAGAATCTTTAGACACTGACCTTACACAATAATTTAGATATTGTTTTTCAATCAGCTGTTTTTAATTTATATCCTGTCCGTATTCGAGGTTATATTAACAAGTTGATTTCGTACAAACAAAATCCAATTAAGAGTATTTAATAATTTAGCACAAGTGTAACCTTTGTCTGATTTGGTCGTAATGTTTCCTGTTTTATATTTATTTTGCAAGCCGTTTTTTTTATACCAATTACGAATGTACTTAAATGGTATTAACACGCTCTGGAATTCGAGGCTTTTCGAAACACGAACAATGGGGACTGCCATTTATACTGGTACGCCTACACGTAATAATTTAATATCACAATACTAGGCTTGCGATTTAATGACAAAGAGATAATATTTATATAGAGAGCGTCGGTGACTCAGTGGTTTAGGCACTTGTAATCTGCAGGTCCTGGGTTCGAATCCCACCATGTACCAATGTGTTTTTCGATTTACATATGTACATTTATCCGATGTTCTTACGGTGAAGGAAAACATTGTGATGCAACCTGCACATATCTGAGAAGAAATTCAAAAGATATGTGTGAAGTCAACCATCCCGCACTGGGACAGCATGGTTGACTATGGCCTAATCACCCTTAACTTAGGGTAGGCTCCGAGCCCCTCGGTGGGGACGTCGATTTAATGAAGTCAACGTATCAACAAATGCTGGTATTTATAGATGACGGTTATTTCGCTAGTTTGGCGAATTTAAGTGACCGATTTCAGCTGAGACTAACGTTTTTTCTTCGAATCTTCATGTTGTAATTAGATGACTACTATGGTCAGTTTCTGCTACCGAAACAAATGGAAACATATCATTACCCAACATGTTTTTGTTGGGTGTTCCAGCAGTGGAAACCCAATGGTAATTTGAGTGAAACTGAACTTTGTTTTTTAATGTTAGAATTCAAGGAAGCGTTCATGCTGTTCGACAAGGATGAAGATGGCACCATCACGATGGCGGAGCTGGGTGTTGTGATGCGCTCGCTCGGACAACGACCTTCAGGTATAGTCTTAATTCATGTAACAAAAGTATTAACAATATTGTTTTTTTTTTTTAATTCACAATTTTTTGTAATCATAATAGATAATTAAAAAACTATTTTGAATTAAATTAAATAACATTCATGAATATTTTAAACGTAAATACAAGTGGTAATACATCAAGATGATATTTCGCGCCATCAGAACTCTGATCAAAGGGCCGTTTGATCTACACCGGTGTTTACATTCCTAACTGTCAGTGTCATTGCTTTGCGTTTTTAAAATGCAGAACACAGCTGTTGAACAATTTGTCTAATATATAAAGATGATTTATATATTTATCGAAGATTAAACATATAGTGGACTGCTATTACATAAAGAGTTTAGTGTACAGTCGAAGCCGTTGGATACTGTCACCCGCAACTCCGTCCGCGCGAAATTAAATAAAAAACTTAATTAGTCTGTGTGATCTTCCAGGCTATGTTCTATGTGTTGAATTTTAGTAATATACATGTAGCCGTTATGAGATTCAAATATTCGCATTTATAATATTAGTAAGATTTGAATTAGTGTAATATCATTTTAGTTTCGCAATGCAAATGTCGATAACTAGTAATCACAACTTACATATGTATGTGATAATTTGCAGTGATGATATTCGACCCAAGAAGCGGAGTCCAGATGACTCTGAATCTCCGACATATATGAATATGTAAAGGACGTTAACGTTACTTAAATAATACTAATAATACACTGCCAGTATCCTCGGAACCTTGCCTACGGGGACGCCTTTTAATAAATTTATTTTAGTTAATTATACGTTTTTAATATTTTATTTAAAATCATAGATTTAAGAATCTTTTGTCATATAGTATTATAATTTATACTAATATAATTGTAGTAAATATATTTAGTCCATTGTCATCAGTTACAGCGGTTACGTTGCTAGGCGATGCTCGTATTTCGCAAAACCACAAACAATGTGTCCTACATAGTACAAGAGTTTGTTGTGTTTAGATGTTGTTTTTTTGTACGCAAACTATTTGAATAACAAAAACAAGAGAATTAACTTGCAGAACAATATTAAGATGGTTGTCGCCCGCGACTCTGTCCTATATATTAAAAAAAAAACTTAATGGTCTATGTGTTCTTCCAGTCTATGTCCATCTATTTCTAATTTCCGTTGAGCCGTTAGCAGATACATTGTAGCAAGCATCCATCCATCCATCCAAACATTCGCATTTATATATTACGTCGATTTATTACGTCGCTCATAGTTTGTTAGTTTCTTTTTTCAAACTTACAAAATACATAATCTTAACTCTTACAAGAATAGCTTTTAGCTTTTAATTATAAAATATGCATCAAGATCAATTTCAAATAATTACAATGTCCTCGATGAAACCTTAAACCGTATACTAACGAGGTATGTGTAAGTTCCTTTCTCGTTTTTTTTAAATAAAACTTCTTAAATTATGCTTACGAAGTGTTTACAGCCAGTTACACGAGAAGGAGGTCTTATTATGCAACCTTTAAATTCCTGGCCATATTAATTATTACTATTGACATCATGCGTATAGAAAAAAAGATTTTCAAAAGAATTCACAAATAATTTTAACATGACCAAAAAGGTGCAATATTACACTCAGAATATTCTCTATTTTGAAATTTCGTACTGGAGGAATAATAATGAAAGTAGAGAAACTATATGCAAAAAGAATCTATACAACATAGGCCCCGGCGAGATTCGAACTCGCGATCTCCTGTTTACTAGACAGGCGCTTTAACCAACTAAGCCACGGCGCCATTAGTTACATCAGCGAAATATTCATACTAATATTATTGTACATCTGACTCACTATAACTTTTTTAATTCCTTTATATATTACCCGCATAATTTAATTTAATAATTTTCAATCAGAGCCCACAAGGCCATATTTCAGAGGCGAAGTTATCCCGCAATTGTTACTCTTGCATATAAATCATCAGATTTCGCTTACAGCGGTCGTTCTCGTAAAACCCGCGCACCAATAAACCTTGCCAAAATTGAAATTGCATTACTTTATTCTCCTTTTGTTTATCACTGAGTTAAACGTTATAGTAACGGACAGTTTTATCAATACTTATTAAAATATCACTTTGTAAAAATTATAAAAACAAGCTATCCTTTTTAACCCCATCGGGTTAAGAAAAAAACTTTTTCTATGCAACATTTCCATACATTTGCTGCTTATTAATTCTCTGTCAATACCTGTTTACAGAGACGGAACTGAGAGACATGGTGAAGGAGGTGGATCAGGACGGCAATGGAACTATAGAATTCAATGAGTTCCTCCAAATGATGTCCAAGAAGATGCGTGGGGCTGATGGAGAGGACGAACTAAGGGAAGCTTTCAGGTATACCAACTTAATAATACTAACTTATTTTTAATAAAAAATCTTTATTGTGACGTAAATGTAATCATAATTAGTGTATAATAAGTCTGAAATCGCCAACGAAAGAGAAATTGTTGGGCAAAGAGTAAAGAGATTTAACGTGGATGTCTCCAAGAGTAACAAAAGAAAAGAGAGTATGGATATTGATCCCAATAATCGATATTTATCCTAGTTGTCAAACAAAAATTTCAGGGTATTTGACAAGAACAACGACGGCTTAATTTCGTCGGTGGAATTGCGCCATGTGATGACCAACCTGGGTGAGCGGCTGAGCGAGGAGGAAGTTGACGACATGATCCGCGAGGCCGACCTCGACGGTGATGGCATGGTCAACTACGATGGTATAACTCTTACTAACCATAACTATAATACAATATTCCTTAATACTTGGTCTCCCTCCTTCTTGGCCCCCATTCTAAGAACTTCACGGAGGGGTGAATAAACGAGATATAGACTTCTTTTGTTTTAACCTTTTTTCTATTCAATAAGATAGATATGCAATACATTATGTTGCTGCAAATTTGACCTTCTTGCTCGTTTGCCACCGTTTGTTATAAGAAAATATACCATAGAATAAGGAAGGAGTATATCTCAAAGAGTGAAGTCAACCAACCCGCACTTGGCCAGCGTGGTTGACTATGGCCTAATCACCCTTAACTTAGGGTAGGCTCCGAGCCCGGTGGGGACGTATTGTGAGCTGATGATTATGAATATATCTCTGTCAACAATAATTTAATTTTTCCAATATGCTAAATGCCAGTTCTGCGTTTCGTCTGATGAGTGTGCGACCCGGAGGCCTCATTTAGTCCTCTTTCCCTTCCCACCTTTTTTCTTATAAGGAAAGGATAGGAAGTGGAAGTGGACTTTCCGGGTGAGAGGATGCATGGGAAGGAAAAATATTTTCTTTCTGCGCATCCTCTCCTCCGTCGATTAAAGGTAGGCAACGCATATGCAATTGCGTACGTCTATGGACGGTTACTTCGCTATTTCAGCGATTTCATGTGGCTCGCTTGTTTGCCACTTTATGATATAAAAAACAGTAGTTGCCAAGTTATTGATATTGATAAAATTGTTTACAGAGTTCGTAACAATACTGACATCGAAAAACTAGTATGCAGAGCAAAGGCCACCGAGAGATCGTCCCCCGCCCGTACCAAAACAGTGCGCTCACCACGAACTATTCAGGTTCGGGGGGAAAGAAACTCTTATATAGTTGCCAATGTTGCTCAGAACTTATGTGATCGTAAACAAACGTGTTTCCGTTTACCGTACAGTTGAATACAAAAGTGTTGACGCAAACGTTAAGAAAAACTACGTTTTATAGGATGCGCTTTCGGCCAGTGTTTAGTGTGAAGTGTTATATACATTGTAAAATATCTCATTAAAACACAATATAAACGCTTTGAAATGTTCTTTTAATTGTGTCATTTTGTATCGCATAATATTGGAACATATAACTAAAAAAAATATTAAATTATAAATGTAAAATTATCATTTTATCGGTGTCCAAAAGGAAGGCAGGGTAATCTGCACATCTCTCATATTATTGTTTTTTTTTTACCTTTTTTTAACTGAGTAGTCACTGTTTGCCTTAAGGAGGCATTTACAGCTTCACCGGGCTTGAGGTGGCCGAGCGCAGATGGCGCTTAACCTGAACCTCGTTTAAGAGTAAATTATCGATTGCTTTCAACATTAAAATAAATATGATTATAATACGCGCACGATCATAATAAGAGTTATAACTTAAACTTTAACTTAGGTTAAAGTATTTTATAAATATCATATAAAGTTTACTTTGCAATTGCGTCTAAAAACGTTAAAATATGCGAAATTTCCATAACAACTCTTTCTTCAGAACTGTACCAAAACTGAACTCAAATGAGATACAATTTTTGATTGTACGCGTATTATATTTGGTTAATAATACATTTTCCTACATTAAATTATATTCGAAAATATTGCGACACTGTTTTTTATTTTTTTAAATATAAATTAATGACTGGTATTCATTGTTAATAGCTTAAATGCGATTTAAACATTTTTACGCGTCGTGGTGTTGTTTTATATACTATTAATGACGTAGCTATTTAAAAATAAGAGTTATTCAATATAACATTGTTTAATAATCCAAATAGTAAACCGTTTTTAAATAAGACTGTATACATCCCCAAAATAATCATTGATTTATTTAAAAGAATTAAAAGATAATATGATTTCTTAAAATTTAACTTACATATTATAAATACACATTGATCACTTATATAATAGAATCATGTATATAAAAAGATTATATACTTAAAAATACATAAATAGCAATCATAAAGGTGTAAAATTGAGATTCAAATGTAAAATCATTAAAAGCTAAAATGTCGTTGAATCAAAAAATACTGATTTTCTCAGTTTTCTTAAAAGATTTACCGTGAGTTTCTAAAACCAAAAACTCTGTATTAAACATATCGCCATCTCTGTCGAATTCTTCAACAAAACAGAGATAACAATATGTTTTAAATGGAGATTTGGTCTCAGAAACTGAAGAATCATATATGAGGGAGATTTAGATTTTAAGAAGTGTAAGTCAACTAAAATAATATTGAATAAGATTGTTGGTGAAGTAAAAAACCGTCACAATAATTATAATAAAATTGAATGACAGTGGTGGAAATCAGTTGAACAATATGAACAAGTAAGTGCTTGAATTCAACAAAGTTCACAGAAATGTAACATCTTTGTGATTTCAATTTGATTATATCGTAATTTGCATGTGTGTAGGTGAAAGAATATTAGCTATGTGTGTATTAGATATAGATATACAAAAATATATGTGCATTGTATGTCGGTGTCGTTTCTTTAGTCTTCCAATTAGCGGAGGTTGACTGAAAGTTAAATTACGCCAAATGTTCAAACAAGTTCATTAAGATAACGACGATTCGGTGGGAATTAAAAAATATTTATAAATCGTAGAAGTTCGATGTAAAATGCTGTAACTCGAAATTTTAATATTATCTAGTAATTTGTGAAATTATATAAGATTGGTTTTAATATAATTGAGAGAAACGATAAAGGGTACGTGTGTTATAACGTTTTTTTTATTTAATTACATCTCGAATATTGCTTACATTGCTTTGTGTGTTGGTTTGACTTTCCGTTGTGTGTGAGTGAAAGGTGAGTTTTAACTAAAAAAATATTTAACAAAATCGAGAGAACACAAAGGTTATAATTATATATATATAATTAAGCAAAATTAATAACAAACATTTTAATGAAAAAGTAAATCAATTTTTTTTTCTTTTATTTTAAAAATCGAATTTAATAATTATTCATTGCTTTGAATAAGGATTAAAAATGGGCTTCCCCATAAATTAAAATTATTTTGGAAAATATTAAGCTCATTAAAATGATGGAACATAAACATTTTAATGAACATGATAAATATTTCTAACCGCATCCAGCACACATTAAATGCATTCTTTTCTAGTCTATAATGACAATAAATTCAAAATATTACGTCAATTTATATATATTTATCAAAAATTCAATATATTTCTTGAAATTATGTTACATACGGACATACGCATATCATGAGCAATAAAATATAATAATAATCAAAAGTATTTAAATTATTTTTCAAAAAAAAAAAGATTATATATTTACATAACATTATTTTAATGAAACATTTAATATTTATTTTAAGAATATTTACGTGGATTTTATCGATATTTACATAGAAAACGATAGAATACTGTTTTAATATTGATTTATTGAGCAAATACTTTAATATCATTATTGTTGAAAACAATATTTATGTGTTTAAATATCATACATAATATGTTATAAATATTACGTCAAGATAAACATAATATGTTTTGAATTTGTAGATTTATCGGTATGTTGTTATCGTACATTTATAGTAGTACAAGAGTCAGTAGAAAAGTGGTATTTATTCCATAAAATAGGATATTATATTAATAACTGTGCATCATATGCTTTTTAACAAAATTGAAAATGTTAATATAAGCTAGCTTGTACAGTCAGCTACATAAATATTTACACATTTAGAAATCTTAGAAAACGCCTTCGGTTCTAAAAATTTGAACACATTAATCCGTGTGTATGGTTCAGACCATGATTATTGATAAATTCGTGCACACGTAATTTTGAAACCGAAAACCAGCACATGATTCTAAAGACTTGTATGTGTAATGTGTAAATATTTATGCTGACTGTACTTACCTCAGTATATACAAACCTAACCTTAATATTAAAAAAACTAACAACCCGACTGAATCAGGCTCTAATGGATGAAATGGCGTCATCTATTGTTTCAATCTAGATTCTATCCTTTAACCTCTAGGCCGTCACAATGGAATTTACATGCATCCAATCCCGCATACATGATAACAAACTTACATACGTTCAAAATACATTACCGCCTTTTCAGTCGGGTAAAAAAGGTATTGTGTGTTCTTGCTTATTCGTATATCTATGTGTCGTTATATCTCACAAAAACTAAGATATAAAATTGATATATGTGCTGTAAATTTATAGTATATGTACTTGGTTATACATTTTGTATGTTGATATAAATCGAATTCATTCAAATATAACTTTATGTATATGTAAACAATACCATTAGTACATGTTAGCTTAGCAATATTTAAGCAAACCTTATTGTAGTACAAAATCCAAAAAGTGCTATATTTTGTCCAAACATCTATGTTTTGGATTTTAATTTTTACCTTTACTATTATTAGTTATTTACGTCATCTTACTAGTCAGACTAATTCATTGGAAGAGAGCCAAATATCAACGAACAAGAATTTTGATAAACATTCTGTCACCAACTACAGTTGTACTTGTATGTACTTTGACATATCGATTCGCATTGCCAAATCGCATGATAGAATAACACATAATTACTTTTCCATTGTAACTAGTCGAGCTAAAATCTAAATAGAAAAATTATTTCTGAATGATTTACAGAAAGATGTATTAATTATTTGCAGTTTTTTATTATCTGTGGTCACAGATAATTTAAATATTATCATATTAATGTTCTAATTATTCTACGACTTCTTCCATTTTATTAGTTTAATATAATTATACAACTTTCCAGCTGGTACTAAATAATTTTAGACGCCATTCATTTCTTAAAAAGAAACATAAGATGTTTATTATTTTTATTTCATTTTTTTTATTACATTTAATTCATAAGGCAAATGAGGCCAGTTGTTCAAATATTCAGAGATAAATCGCTATGAAAATTTTTGTCTGCTAGAGCAATATAGAGTGTGAATATTAGTGTGGTTTTACATAGATTGTAAATTGTTTTATAAGAGTTGACGTGTAGTGTACAAGTGGCTTTTATATTAGCGAAGCAAGGTTCAAACCATGGAGTTGTTATATCAAAACTAGGAATATCATGGACAACTTTAACAACAACATTAACAATTTTAACACGAAAAATATTTTTTCTCGAAAAATGACATATAGTGTGTATGAGCCGTCGATTTCTTTTAAAACAGCGTGTAAGTATATCAAAGAGGATTTAAGCTCTAACTAGGAAATCTTGCAACGGCTGGAGGATCGCATTTGCGTATATTTTGTCTATAAAACGCGTCTTAATGCATAATAGTAACAGTCATATATCGGAAATGTATCGTACAGTCAGCTACTTGAATATGAATACATTTCCAAAGCTTCAGTGTACAAGTTTCTGGAGTTAAATGTATACATATTTATGCAGCTGACTGTACAAATTAATAGAGCAATTCTGTCTGCATTTGCGACACATGTCGTTTGGAGTCTGTGTGTTCTGTGAAATCGCACCTTAACTGTCTTTATAGTTGCAGAAAGCGTTATTAATAACTCCATGGTTACAACTCTTGCACGCAGTGTGTCGATTGTTTGTAATAAACTCGGCGTGTACTGTATGAGAGTTATTATGTATTGCGTTTTAGTGATTCGATGTAATTAGATGAGTTTACAGGCTTCGTACGAGATGATTTTAATAAAATCGATATGTGATGGCGATTATGTTTTATTCCAACCCTGCATTACACTTAAGTCCTATTCCGTGCACTTGGTTAGTGAATTTTGGTATTAGGTTTCGTTTCAACATAACCTACAATTTAGATGTCATTTTTTATAATTGTTTTACCGTACACTCTTCAGGTTGTCTACAGTTAGTAATACTATTACCTGTATTAAAAAACTACTGCAATCTTAAAGAATACTGAATAATTAAGTTTAAATTACGTTAATTTATTCAGTACAATCTTTGACAGATTGCTTTCGTAGTAGAGATTTCGAGACGTGCTGTATATTCTTATCTCTTTAGATTTCTTTGTTATTAACCATCATATTAATCGATAATATTTATTCTTATTTTGCCATTCACTCGTTATTAAAAATAATTTACTTAACAGCTTATTTGGTTTTGAATAATTATGGTATCATAAAATTATATGATAAAAATTCTCGTGCTTTAATTAATGATCGCCTATAAAAAGTTAATAGCAAAATTTTAGATTTAATTCTTTAGACATATAGTAGGAGTTTGATAACCAGGAAAATGATCATTTCTTAGTATGTTACAATTCGTTTCAT